CATAAGTGTTAGTGTAGACATGGCCTAGAAAGCTAAAAGAAGCATCAGAGAAGAGCTCGTAGCATAGCCCTGAGAGGGAGCAGAGACAGATTTGGGGACACAGGACTGGCTGGAAAAGAGAGCTTGGATTTCTGAACAAGGAAACCACCTCCTGGGTGATCTATAGTCTTTGTAAATAAATAAACAGGACTGCACCAAAGAAATTCCTGACTCCATAATCAATTTCTCCTCCTAAAGAAAACAGCCTGGCAAGGTCCTCAGCATTGGCTAACCGCTGGGGCCATGCACAACGTTGTTATTGCAAGTTGCAGTAGAGTTGCCTTTGGCTGCTGGTTTAAAATATTAAACTTGCCACTAGGTTACTACAAAATGGCCTTCAGTAACTTGCTCTTGGTCTAACTAAGGCATGGCCTACACTACAGAGTTAGGTTGATGTAAGGCAGATTACGTTGACCTAATTATATCAGTGTAGACACTATCACCTTGCTCCTGCTGATATAAGTGCCCTGCCCCACTAACATAGTAACCACCTCCAGGAGAGGTGTAGGGCTTACATTGGTGTAGTCAGGGCAATGTAGTGGCTGTGTAAATACTGCATTACTTACATGTCAATTTCATGGCTCCAGCCATGGGGCCAGTGGGGGCTCCAGCTAGAGCCTGGTTCCAAGCCAGGCTACACCTGCCTGGCACCCTGCTGCCAGCCGAACTGTTGCCCAGAGGCACAGTGCTCCCCGCTGGGCTGCACCCATCTGACTCCCTGCTGGGAGCCTGGCTGCAGAGGGGAGCAGGGAGCTGAGCGCCCAAGCGGGCAGTACCGTGGCCCAAGCGGTAGGGAGCTGGGGGCGGGGGGCAGCCGGACTCCCAGTGGGGAGCTGCATGTGGAGCTGAGAGCTGGGGCTCTCAGCCTCCTGCCCCTCTTAAGTAAGTTCTAGGGCTCCTGGTGAGGACAGGCACCACTGACAGAGGGAGGGTAATGTGGACATGAAACACCACAGTAATTACTGCAGTGGTTGTAAGCATAGGCATTGACTTCGTGGGTGCTCCAGGGTTGGAGCACCTATGGAAAAAAAATAAGCAGGTGCTTAGCACCCACCAGCAGCCAAGCTGCCCCTTACCCGCCGGCGACCCCTGCGGCATGCAGGAGGGGAGTGGGAGAATCAGGGATGGGCATGCTTGGGGGAGGGGTTGGGAAGAGGTGGAGTGGGGGCAGACTTGGGGCAGAGGTGGGGTCGAGCACCCTGTGGCTTTCAAAGAAGTCAGCGCCTATGGTTGTAAGGTCAACTTACCTTTTTAGTGTAGACATGTCCTAAGAGTAAGGGTCTTCAGTCCCTTTTAATAATTATGGGCCTGATCTCGTATTCCTTATAAACCTAAAACTTTCATTGATTCTCCGGTTCAAAAGGAATGGAGGATCAGGTTCTGCATGTGTAGGGAAAAGTATACTTCCAAATACAGTGGTAGTGATTTCTGCCAGTGAAAAAAGTGTAGGATATATAGGGTTGCTAACTCTGACTGAAGCTATTCCAGGAGATTCCCCTCCCCTCCCCCAACATGATGTAATGTCATTTTCTTAAAATATCCTATTAAAATCTCCTGGATTGCTTTCAATAGTCACCGGGAGATGGATACCAATTCCAGGAGACTCCAGGCCAATCCTGGAGGGTTGGCAACCGTAAAGATATACAAGCTATGGCACTGTTTTGATTACCACAGACACTTGACTTCACACTTGTCCACGATGCCCCTGAACTTATCCATAAGGCACTGTGTGGTGTTTAGATGCTGCATGTGATTATTAGAACCGGGAGCACTGGCTGTTGGGAATCTGAAAGGACAGGAAACAGGAAGGAAGGGGGAGGAGTTGAGGAGGCTGGGGGAGTTACAGAGTGTGCAGCTAGAGCTTGGTAAAGAGATTTCCACTGTAAATAAAGTTCTGTTAAAGTTCGTTAATACCTTGCCTGGGGGATACAACACACTGCTCCTCCAAAATCCACTTTCACTGTAATGCCTACCAGAAACTAAACTGCTAGTAATAGCACAGTAGGAGGACTGTTGGGGTCAGTATAACCTTAAAGTGTGATATGTTTCTTCCCCATGCTATTCATATGTTTAAATTCTTTGGGGCAAAGGCTGTGTCTTCATATGTTTAGCAAGCACCGACCTAGCAGAGGTGTTTGGTTTTGCAGCAAACACCTGGCATGCTAGAAGCCAGTTTTATTGGAATTAAGCAACACACTGTGTTTAATCTCACTCTAATAACTTCTTACATTTGTATGACTTTGTGCCCATTTTATACTTTCACCTCACTATGGCAACAGCCTAGCTCACAATGCTGTACATCAGGAGTTCAAACTCGCGGCCCATGGACTTATTTCCTGCGGCCTGCCATAGGTGCCAACTCCCCCCCCCCCCACGCCCCTCGCCCCCCTCTTTCCCCCTCCCCCAGTGTGCCATGTCCCCACTCCTCCGCCTACTTCCCAGCGCTTCCCGACTCCAAACAGCTGTTTGGCAGTGCTTAGGACTTTCCAGGAGGGAGGGGGGAGGAGTGGGGACGCGGTGCGTTCAGGGGAGGAGGCAGGGAAGAGGCGGGGCTGGGGCAGGGATTTGGAGAAGGGACTTTGGGGAAGGGGTTGGAATGGGGGCGGGGAAGGGGTGGGGCATGTACTGAAGTGTCGCTAGAGGTGAAGAAACTGAAGGGCAGGACAAGCCCAGGCTCTTCCCTCCCCCCCCCTCCCAGTCCCGGGGGACTTCCTCCTCCGCCTGCCCAGTGCCAGGCTGCAAACTCATGCCAAGCCGCACAAGTGGAGTGGCGGGAGTGTGGGGCAGCATGAGGCTGCCCCCCCTCTTCCCCCAGCCACACACAAACGCGGGCGGGCTGTGGCAGGACTAAGTGGAGCCTGGCGCTGTAGGGCCACGAGCAGCCGAAGGGAGGGAGAGCAACAGGCTGGGCAGGAGACCCGCAGGGGCTGCCAAGGCTGAATTACTGTGCTGGGCTGACGGGGTGGGGGGTTGTGTTTTTTTTCTCAGCCAGCCCCTCACTAGTTTCTCGGGGCATCACAGAGTTTTCACATTTGAAAACAGCCCCCAACTCCTCGCTTCTCCCCTGGAAACAAGCACGATTTGCAAAATGGGGGGAGGGGGTTCCAAGCCGCACTCTTCCCTGCCCCTCTACTTCCTTCTGCTCCCTCATTACACAAGCCCTATGCAGCTAGATACCTCTTGTGGCTATGGTAACACCCCTCTTTTCATTAGGTGCCAGCAATGTGCTTGGTAAGACCTCAGACGGCTTACAGTCTAACAGAGATACACAGGAGCCAGGGGCGGCTCCAGGCATCAGCGCACCAAGCATGTGCCTGGGGCGGCAAGGCGCGCGCGTGGGGGGGGGGTGTTCTGGTTGCCGTGAGGGTGGGAGTCAGGCAGCCTTCGGTGGCATGCCTGCGGGAGATCCGCTAGTCCCGCGTCTTCGGTGGCAGGTACGCCGAAGGCGTGGGACTGGCAGATCACCCGCAGAAACGCCACTGAATCCGCAGGACCGGCAGACCTCCTTACTGTTTTTTGCCACCCCAAGCATGACATAGAGCTGCCCCTGACAGGAGCCAGGATTCACAGGAAGACCCAGAGGAGAGATTAACTTGGAGCAGTTTGGGAGAGGGGGTTGTTTATTTGGGCATCTGTGGCGTGATTTGAATCATAACTGTCATTCCCCTTGGCTTCAGGGCTTTGTTGCAACACAAGTGCTATCAGAGCCAATGCTGAAAGGTGCTAAGCACCCTGAGATCCCACTGGTCTGAGTGGAGGAGAAGGCACCTCAGCTCCGCACAAAGGAAGTTTTAACAGAGAGATGACCCAAGTGCAGGAGAGTCAAAACCTGTGACCCAGTCCCTTGCTGTTCTGGGCTGTGACTTGAGGCTGAAAGGTGCTGCCCGCTGCCTTCTGTGAGGTTCAGCGCATGCTCATGGCCAATGGTTCTTAGCCCATCAGTCCCCATGACACCTCCCTCTGCTTTTGCAGGGGTAATGGCAATGTTTGGAAGTACATATATATGTGAACAGCTTTTCTCTTCCATGAAGACTAAGAAATCTGTGTTAAGGTCACTGATGAACATTTGCAAGCAACACTGAGATTGGTTTCGTCTCAGGATATCAAACCTAATATTGATGCTCTGGTTGATGCAAAACGCTGCCAGCTAAGTGGCCAAAAATGAAATGACTGTCAAAATTAGCACTGACTTTTCGCATTACTGTTTTAAAAAAGTTAATACATTGACTTTTAATAGCATACTATATTACTCTTCATCTTTTTCATTTTTGACTATACTTTTGTATCGTATGAAAAGGTTTCAGTGATGTGGCCCTCGGGCCAACGTACTAGTCCTTGTGTAGTCCCCATGGTGATTTGAGTTTGAGATCCCTGCTGTACATAATGGGGAAAAAATTGAGCAGTCACGTTTTCACAGCTTCAAATAAACCCACAGTAACCAATTATTTTTCTGACATTTACTTTTAAACAGTCATGGCCCACAAAAAGGAGAAAAGCTCTTTATCTAGCTCTGTGTAAATGCTCCCTACTAAGTAAATAATTTCTTGAGATAAAGCAATCAGATGTGATGAAAATTGATCAGTAGTTTGGTATAAGGTGGTTCCTTATTCCTGTTAGTGACTGTCTTTTTTGTTCTCTAATACAAAGAAAGACTTTTATTTTTCCCCTGCTAAAGATCAGAAAGTTAATAATAGGCCTTAATTTGACAGTGTTAATAGTTGTGTTTTAGTGATCTGGTCTTCACTATGGTAAACATGAATTATTTATCTGTAACAGTATTTTCCTGTCATGTAGAAGCATTGTGCAGCTATTTTGTTAAGTGTATGTACAAATCTTCTTGGTAATACAAAGTTAAAGGCTGGTGGTTTTTTTTTTCCCCTGGAGTCACTGATTCAGGTGTTTAAAGTATTCTGCTCATGAATATAATGCCACTAACAGCTTTTGTTTCAATTACCGTGAAGGAGTAGAAGGGATTTTAATGTCTGAAGAGGGAGAGAAATGAATCAGCAAATCATCCTGGAGATGGAAGACGGACACTGTACAGCAAGAGCAAACCTCAGAGCAGGGAGGCCAACGCTGGAGTGAAGGTTATCCAGCAAGTTCTTCGCCTTATGTTCTGATTTGCCTCCCCCAGTCTACCAGCAGCGGCCAGGTGGAGAAGGAATTTCAGGTACTTACATGCCACCAAAAACCTATCTGGAAGGACAATCTCTCACAGTACAGGAGTGCTGTAGAACTGCCCATCCAATTCTTGGAAAAGACTATCTGCAGAGGTAGGAGGGTGAAAATCCAATCTGGGCTTTGTGCTGTGGGTAGCTGATCTCTCTCTTGTAAGGGAGAGCAAGGAAGGAACTGATCAAGACTGGCAGAAAGTCCCTAAAAATGTGTGTGTGGGGGGGCCACTGGCACCCGAACTGTGGGCCTGTCCCCATGCTGCCCCTGCACCCATGCCAACCCTTCCCCCTGAGGCCCCAGCTCCTGCTCGCTCCTGTCTGTTGGTAAAAAGTGGGAGGACCATGGCCCCTTGCTCCTCCCCCCCGCCCCCCATTCTGGCTTCCCTGGAACTGATCCAAAGGACAGTTAGCTTGTAAAACTTTTTTTTTTCTTTTTTTAAATGGAGACCTCCCTCTTGGGGAAACCAGTGATATCTCCAAATGTGGCTCCTACACAGCAACCCTGTATTGGAATCTCACAAGCAGGGGCGGCTCTAGCTTTTTTGCTGCCCCAAGCACGGCAGGCGGCTTTCGGTGGCGTGCCTGCAGGAAGTCCGCCAGTCCGGCGGCTTCGGCGTACCCACCGCCGAAGCCGCAGGACTGGCGGACCTCCCGCAGGCAAGCCGCCGAAGGCTGCCTGACTACCGCCCTCGCAGGGACCGGCAGGGCACCCTCTGCAGCTTGCCACCGGAGGCATGCGCTTGGAACGCTGGTGCCTGGAGCTGCCGCTGCTCACAGGTATCCAATAAACAGTGTGTGGTGCAGCATATTTACATGTGCACAATAACTTAAATATTGATGGGAGTTCCCCTGTCTTTCTACATAAGAACGGCCATAGTGGGTCATACCAATCTAGTCCAGTATCCTGTCTTCTGATAGCGGCCAATGCTGGGTGCTTCAGAGGAAATGAACAGAACAGGTAATCATCAAGTGATCCATCTCCTATCGCCCATTCCCAGCTTCTGGCAAAGAGAGGCTAGGGACACTTCAGAGCATGGTTTTGCATCCCTGCCCATCCTGGCGAATAGCCATTGATGGACCCATCCTCCATGAACTTACCTAGTTATTTTTTTTGAACCATGATAGCTTCTTGGTCTTCACAACATCCTCTGGCAAAGAGTTCACCAGGTTGACTGTGTGTTGTGTGAAGAAATACTTCCTTTTGTTTGTTTTAAACCTGCTGCTTATTACTTTCATTTGGTGTCCCCCCCAGTTCTTCTGTTATGAGAAGAGTAAATAACACTTCCTTATTTACTTGCTCCACACCACTCATGATTTTATAGACCCCTATCATATCCCCCCTTAGTTGTCTCTTTTCCAGGCTGAAAATTCCCTGTCTTATTATTCTCTCCTCATATGGAAGCTGTTCCATACTGCTAATTGTTTTTGTTGCCATTTTCTGTACCTTTTCCAATTCCAGTATCTTTTTTGAGATGGGGCGGCCCGATCTGCCAGATTCAAGATATATTTTCTGTCTTATTCTCTCTTTCCTAATGATTCCCAACATTGTTAGCTTTTTTGCTGCTGCACATTGAGTGGATGTTTTTCAGAGACTTATCCATGATGACTTTAACATCTTTCTTGAGTGGTAACAGCTAATTTAATCCCCACTATACATATAAAATGATGGGGTCTGTGTTTTCCAGTGTGCGTTGCTTTGCATTTATCAACATTGGGCAACAAAATGGCAGATGAAATTTAGTCATCCGTTTGGTGAGATCCCTTTTAACTCTTTGCAGTTTTTGTAACTTTTTCTTTGGACTTAACTATCTTGAGTGGTTTTGTATCATCTGCAAATTTTGCCACTTAACTGTTTACCCCTTTCTCCAGATCATTTGAGATGACTAAAGCCTTATTTTTCAGAGTACTTAGCTCAATTTAAGATAAGACAAAGAGAATCTATTTAAAACCGTGTAGTCACCCCTGTTGGTCAGAGGCCCTCTGTTTTTCTTAAAAACAAACACAAAAATTCCCATATTTTATTATTTTTTTGAACCAGACATCCTCCCTACTTCATTTCTTTTGGTCTTACCACTCATTTTTCAAGGTCATCCTTCTGCTTGCTAGTCAGGGCCTTTCTTTACAACACACATATTTCCTTAACCAAACTTAAGGTAACTAATTCTTTAATTCATATTTATTCTACATAAGACTATAGGCTGTCATTGTTTATGTGGACCAGCACTAGAGGGGAATGAAACACATTTTTAGTGGGTTTCACAGATTATTTGCAGACAGCAGAAGAGTGAGTCAGGAATCTTGGGTTCTGTCCCAAGCTCTAGGAGGAATGGTCTGTAGTGGGCACAGACATTTGTGCCCCTTTCCCTCCAGCCTGTCCCAGTCCTGTCTCTTCCCCATATGTGGCTCTGCCCCAGAACAATTTTCCTTGCTTACCCCACCCTCGTCTTGATTCCACAGGCTGCTTCTCCCAGTCCTAGTTCCCCCCCCAATCTGGCTCCTCGTCTGCTTTGGCTCTTCTCCCAGCCCCTTCATCCCAGTTTCTTTGCCCAAAAGTCTGTACCCCCAAGACTGCAGCTCCTTGTCAGATGTCTCTCCTCCCCCTCCACTTCACCCCATTGATTCCTAGACAAAATCTCCTTGCATAGCCTAGGCGTTTCTTTCTCCCCCCTCCACTTCATCCCGTCCCAGTCTCATCAGACTACTGCTTTCCCTGTCCCCCATTTCCCAGGTCAGGGTTTATCCCCTCTGCACTCTAATCAGAGAGATTCCTCCTTTATGCTGCCAGGGTGCCAACAGGAAGGTCCTTGAGAGCACAGGTGAGACAGACTTCCTGGTCCCAGCTCAGAACTGCAGTGTTACAGAAAGGTCTGGCTTAGCCCTGGACTGGAGGACCCACCCCGGGTCATGGCCCAGCCACTCTTTGGCTGAGTCAAAACTGAGTAGTGCTGCAACCTCACATGCCAAGTTGCAACACCACTCACTCAGATCATGTGGAGGGGGTGCATACAGGGGCTCATGAGCCAGCCGGGGGTCAGGTGGTGGTGGTGGTGCCTGAAAGGGAGGAGGATCAGGTGGGTTGGGAGGCAAATCTCTGTAACCGTTTGCCTGTGGGGATGGTGCGTATGCTGTCTGGTCAGCACTAGGAGTTGAGAGGCTGGAGCAAGCTCAGTGGGGACAGAATCTCTGGCGCTATTAGCTGTTAAATTTGTGCAAGTCTCTATTGAGCACATGCAACCTGAAGTTTTTCAAAGGCTTATAACTTGGCTAAGCTTGAGTAGATTTTCACAGGTACAACAAAAGACACAATCCCGGGCCCACACCCTTGTCAAATTTCAAGTCCCACGGTATAGAACTCCGCAAAGAAAAGGTCACTAGAACTTAACGTGGGCAAAATGTATTTTTCCCTGATCTTGTTCTCAAAAACAGCTGAACTGTTTTGGCTGAAATTAAAACAAAAAACCTCTACCACAATGAGGCTGAGAGAACCAGCCATGGAAAATTTCTGCCCAAATCATTAAAATGTTACCAAAATTATAAATCACTGGTCTTCTAATGAGTAGTGTTGGGCAACCTTAATAACAAGCAGAGCTAGCAGCTTTATAAGTCACTGACCAGACTTTGAATTGATTGTACCAGCTTAACTGCATTTCACTGAGCTTCTGACGTGTGCTTGGGTTTCAGCCTCTGATGCTGATGCAGTAATATGATCTGTAGATGCAACTCCATTTGTGACTTTGGCACTATTCCTGTTTTGCTTTTCAAACAAAAGTCTCCATCTACTAATGAGCTATGACTAAAATGCTAAATTACATTTTTGATGTGAGATTTTATTTTAAAATATATTCTCATAGCTACAGTACAAGCAGCTGCGGTAACTACAAGCAAATGCTGACTCCCAGTGGCAATCAGCGTGTACTCTAATTGGCAGTTAGTAAGGCATTTGTAAGGGAATTCTTCCAAGCTGCTAACTTTGAGATTAAAGTGCCAAAGCAGTTGAGTAATTTACCATCACTGCTGTAATACCATTATGCTTCAAACTAACCATGCTTCAAATGTGGCAATACTAGCCCCTTCAGTCCATTGTAGTACCCTTTTGGAATACTTCCACATATGAATGAGGACAGGATTCTTGGTGTAGTTCAACTCATGGAATTTCCTATGAGTTCTTCCCTTGGGATGTGGGTTCTCTCGTATGTAAGTAGTAGGGGTTTATCTCCTCAGCTCTTTGGGAACATTCCAGGCACAGGGCCTTTTCAGCTACTCCATACTTCTGCCCTGTCGTCTCCTCATGATGTACTACCCAGGAGCTGCTTTTCCACAGGTTGAGCTTGGAATCTT